GAAAAAGAAAAGGGAAAAAAAAAACAATTTTTGACAATTACTTTTTTAAAAAAGAAAAAAGGTAAGCAATGGTTAAGTCAGAGTGGGCGTTAGTTGGCGGCCACTCTGAAGCGCCCCTATGGGCGTGAAGTGCGCTTCAAACGCGCTCCATGTGGTGTTATTTTTTTCTTCTCTTGCAAAATTCATGAATTTGGAGGAGAAAAATTTGTTCAAAAACCATGCTCCACATCAATTGTCTTCTTGTTTAGCAAATTTTTCCCTGCAAAAAAACTCAAAAAAAAAAAAAAAAAAAAAAAAAAACCACATGTGTGGTTACTCTTATGTATTATTTATGACCTTTTTTCAAAACATGAAGCATTTGTTTGTTTGCTTATTTGTTAAAAGCTAATTAATTACAACATAACTGGCGAATGACATTGTGGTCAAGTGGCATGAAGTGACTCTCCCAAATGTGAGGTCATAAGTTCATGCGATATTACTCTTTGTGCCTCAATAGGTTGAGAAAGTAAACTACAACATAACTAGCTTTGTAGATCAGACCTTCTCTAGTTGGTTTGACTAGCTTTGTCTGATTAACTTGGTCAATAAGTTAAAATAGAAATTGTTTAGCACCAATCAATTGAAATTTAAAACGCTACTCCAAGCAGCACTTTTTTCTAACTTATTGAATTTAAAATTGTAAAAGACTTATATAACTATTATATGTAACATCTCATAAAAGACTGCATTTTCTCAGTGATCAAATGTTTTAAACCCCAGTGGTGAAAGGAAAAGGAAAAATAAAAAAATAAAAAAATCAATGCACACATTGAGATTTGAACCTATGATCTTTCATTCATTTTTTTAAGAGTCACATAGGTGTCATTAGACTACAAGCTACTTAACAAAGGCTCTTTTTTTTTGAATGCTACTAGCTCTATTACATTGTAGTATCTGTTCATATACTTTCTCAACCTACTGAAACACAAAGAGCTAATAACGCCTCCACTGAGGCTCGAACTTACAACCTTCCAAATGGAAGTCCAACCCGGGTACCATTGGACCACATAGTCCTGGTAACAAAGGCTCTTAATTTTGTGTCTTCATTAAATATATCATATACATCAAAAGTCAACTAAAATGTGTCCCTTTTATCATCCATCTCGCCTACACGGGAGAAATTCCTTCATCCCAGAACCACATAAAACCTCTCAAGTACATTTGCAACTTGTTATTCATAAACTAGCAGTGTCTACTCTTTTACTACTAAAACACATTTAAATAAATTTAAAGCCTCTTAATTTCATGTCTTCATTAAATATATCATACACGTCAAAAGTCAACTAAAATGTGTCCCTTTTATCATCCATCTCGCCTACAACTCTACAAGGGTGAAATTCCTTCGTCCCAGAGCCACATAAAACCTCTCAAGTACATTTGCAACTTGTTATTCATAAGTGAGCAGTGTCTACTCTTTTACTACTAAAACACATTTAAAGTAAATTTAAAGCCTCTTAATTTTGTGTCTTCATTAAAAATATCATATACATCAAAAGTCAACTAAAATGTGTCACTTTTATCATCCATCTTGCCTACAAGGGCGAAATTCTTTCGTCCCAAATCCACATATCTCAACCCGACAAAATAATGGATGAATAAATCACTGTGACTCAACGACTTATTAATTAAAAGGACTAGTGTCTGGTGTCCTAATCGCACAAAGACCTCACCACATTAGGTGAGACTCTTACACTAGTCAGACTTGACTATGTTTCATTGCCATGATCTATCTTTTTACATGCATTTATGAAGAAAGGTTTCAAGATGGATAGAAGAATCATTAGACAGAGGAAGAGCAACCCAAAATGCACTCCGGGCTAAAATTTCGTGGTCCTTCACTTTTATATGAACATGGCTTTCAGTACTTCACTAAGAAACACCAAAAAGAAAAAAATAAAAATAAAAAAGCAATAGTTTCCTATTGTCACATTCTGTCTCAAGAAATTCTTAAACTCAGCAATAAAATAGAAAAGGTAAGAGTTTACTACATTTTCTGAATGCAACTGACACAAATTGGAGTCTTGTTCTTCAAGGACAACTTGAAAATAACATGATAATGATTTTGGAAATGTAGACCCATATTATGTGGTATGTAATTAATAGTGTACACATGTGAGTGCGCTGTTATAGACTTATAGATTCTGAGTACATTGTCAACAAATGTAGCATCATAATTATATGAATGTCACCATATTCTTTTTTAATCCTTAATCATCTTAGATAGACGGGTAAAACTAGCACACATGTTCTCAAAAAACTACTAGTTCTCATTTTATATATATATATATATATATATATATATATATATATATATATATATATATATATATATATATATATATATATATATATATATATATATATATATATAAACAGCTCAAATTTAAAAAGGCATTTCCTTCCAGAATTTTCAGAAAACACGCAGATCAACAGCAACTACTTGGAAACCAATCCAGAATTGGTGCAACATGCTGCAATTGCTACTAGAAAATTTCCAAAATGTTCAGGAGGTTCGGAAAAGGCTACCATGACACAATCGATTGTAGAAACAACAAAAAATAGTCCAAAAATTTCAGAATCTGTTACAACGAAGCAAACGAACATAGAAGCGTCTTAGAAGGAATTGGAGGTCCAAGCATCGCTGGAATTAATGAAGCAAACTGACAGTGACATTGATGCAGAAATTGGCACTGACTTCTAATTTAGAGATTTGGGACTATAGATTTAGGGCAACAATTAAGGATTTTGTCGATTGAACTGAAAGAGATGAAGTTGAGTTAGGGATTTGAAAGGATTTGTGCGATTGAATCCTACAAATTAGAAGAGCCGGTTCTGTTAGGATAATTCAATTCAATTATTAAACCGGTGAAAATCGGTAAAATTAAAAAAAAAAATGAAGTGACTAAAATATCCTTACTAAAAATAGGATCTTTATTGAAAAAAAAAAATTAGAAGGATTAAAAGTGTCCAAAAAACAACAATCTGGGATGTAAAATGACAAAAATAATAGTCTGAGACTAAAATTGAAATTGCTACCAGAGACAAGGGACCTTTGGAATTAACTCTATTTAGTATTAAAAGATTACAATTACAAAAATGCGAAAAAAACATTGCACTTAAGGGCGTTTGGTTCAGGTTATATAATATAACCAAAATTACATTTGCTTAGGAATATAAGATTCACATGTTTGGTTCAAGTTATGTAATTTCCCCCGAGAATGTAACAGAATCTCTGCATAATGTTTTTAGCTATTGCAAGGGAATGTGAGATACTCTCCCATTTCTTAAGTATTCTCACATTCCCTTGTCTTATTGCTAATTTTGTCATTTTAATGCCTTATTAATTATTGTTCAAATTTTAGTTAATTTTAAATCATTTACTTCTATATTTTACCATTGTCTTATTGATTTATTTTAATTTTAAATTTTTTAAAATACATAAAAATAGATTAACAATATTCAAGTAAAAATAATCATCATACCATAAAAAAATAATTAACTCTTCAACTAAACAGATTTATATTACATACCTTAGTTTTAAACAAAATACAAAATTCTAATATTCCTAGTAATCTAACATCCCCAACAATCTAATATTTCCTGGAGTAATATAACATTCTGTGAACCAAACGCCCTTAGGATTTCAATTTTAGAATTTATAACTGTATTTTTTGTTTTATTTGATTTAGTAGTTATTTTTTATTGCTTAAAATCTAACATTTACGGTTTAGATTTAAATTTTAACTTTTTTACTCATTTTATAAAATTTACCAATTTACATATTTAATTGTTAAAGATTACATATTTAAGTGTTCAAGTTTGCATAGTGAAGTTGATGATAATTACGAAAATGTCACCGCATTTAAAAAAAAAAAAATTTTTATCAGATCCATCAAATTTTTACAAATGTAAAGCTAAAATTGATTCTTATTTCTCTCTTATCGTACTATTCTCACAGGATCCTTTCAAATGCTCAAGTTCTCTCCTAGATAGACGAGTGAAATTAGCACACATCTTATGTAATAAATGTATGTATTTTATGGGAATAACTTTGTAGGAATAATATTTGAAGTTACCCAGAAACATAAGAATTAAATCACTTAATTAAGATGTTTAGTTCGTTTAAGCTTTCCTATGAATTTTTATTTTTTTTTTGAATGCTATTGACTCTATTACAATGTAGTATATGTTCATAACTACTTTCTCAACCTACTGAAACACAAAGAGAGGCTCGAAATCACAACCTCCCACATGAGAGTCCAACCTGAGTGTCATTAGACCACAAAAAAGGTAATATACCCTTGTTATATACAAACATTAAAAAGAAAAAAAAAAACATAACAAATAATTAAGAGTTTAATAAATCACTTCACTTTAAATTAATAAATCGTATGCCAAAAGATTCTAATATATACAACAAAAATATTCAAATTTCAAAACAGTACATATGTATAAAAAAAATTAAAAAAAATTAAAAAGTATTGAGAAACAAATTTATTCCATAAATAGTGTTGCTATTAATTGTAATGGTGAGAGGGACAAACTTCTTATATTTAGAAGACTTTTAACATTATGCTAAAAAGGAAAAATACGTAACTGAATAAATTTGGTAGATTTTCAGCCACCCAAGAAAGAGTCATACCTCCCCCAAGTAAGATTACATCATGAAATTAATTCTCATTGAAGTAGAATTTCCTTAAGTCTAAGATTATACCAAATGTGGGAATAATTTTCTCACATTTCAAATTTCTAAAAAAGTTTAAACTTTCTTACCTACTAAACGCCTTCTAAATGTAATTTCTATCCTTTATTGTTTAATTTTGAAAAGATGGATAGAAGGTATAATTATTAGGGAGAGAGCAAACCAAAAGCAGTCCGGGCTGAAATTTGTGGTCCTAAACTTTCATACAAACATGGCTTTCAGTGTTTGTCATCAAGCATTCAAGCATCATTGTACTTCATTAAGAAACACCAATAAAAATAAACATAAAAAAACAGTTTTCTATAGTCACTTTGTCACAAGAAATTCTGAAACTAAGCAATAAAAGAGATCTATGTTCAATTCTGAGCTGTAAGTGGAGTTTCTTTTTCTCTATTGTAGCCAAATTGGTCTGGTCCATAGACTACTCGGTCCATTGATTTTTTCTTTTATGTATGATGTATGAGACTATAAGACTATTCTAAAAGTAACATTCAGTTATCAAGTTCCAGTAATATATCCAAGAACAAAAACATCTTCCAAGTCACTCAGGATAAATAAATGTGATGATTGAAGAGAGAAGAAGCCATCAGTGACATGAAAGAATAGTGTTTTTTTTAACTTACATCAACCGTTAGTTATACCACTGAACATTACTGGCGTTTTCTCTGGTAAAGCGAATAACCAACAAACGCGGACATAAAAAATGTCCATAGCACCTGTTAAAAATGATTGAGCTGGTGAGTAAAACATATTCAAGTCGAGGAATAAAATGGCTAAGGAAATAGAGGTATAATCAAAGTAAAGAAACTTTGAGTGGAGAGTAATGGACAAACAGTATTGATAATATGCCATCTTTCGAGTCTCTTGATTCTAGACTGCATGTCTTCAATTACGCCATTTAATGGAGAAACCTCCCTGCTCGGTGACGACTCTGATGATGAACTGCTACCCTGCTTTCCAGGCATGAAATTCCAACATGAATCAATTTTTTTATTTTTTATTTTTTTTTGGAGAAAATATGAATCAATTTTAAAAACTAGCATTTGAGAGATTGGTAATGACTAGTAGAGTATATGAACGGAGAAGGCTTTAGCATAAATATTATTAAAAAAAAAAAAAAAAAAAAAACTTGGAATGGAACAGTCAGCTTCTATTATTAGCTACATCAATCGCAGAAAGTGAAATTGATCCCTAAAGGTATATCTAAAAAAGCTAGCTTGCCCTTTTATTTAGTTATTTATTTTTTTATTTGTAACAATATCAACCTCATATATTACTCGTATCAGGTTAAAAAGTATATCAAGAGAACTAGTTATTGACAGCGAGCTAAAGGTCTCAAGCTTTCCTCCCCACCTGCAATCTGGTGAAATCTATTAGAGCTGCTTCCTAATACTAAACGACTGACTAAGACAATTGGCAGAACATTAATCTATATAATCAGTCAGCCCTTAATATTTCAGTTGCATCAATAAAAACTAAAGGTTTCAATCTTTACCCCCAAGTCCCTAACCCGCAATTTGGTGAAAGCTATTAGAGTCGATTTCTAATACCAAATGGCTCACGCCATTGGCAAAATATTAATAGTATATAACCAGTCCCCCAACATTGTTTGGTTGCATCAGGGAAACTAAGGGTGTATTTAGTTCAAACATTGGAATCGGAATGGCCATAGAAATCAAATACTTGGTAATGGTAATGTGTTTAGAGAGAATGAGTCACTTTATTTGGTAGTAGGAATTGGAATCAAAATAAATAAATAAATTAATTAATTAAAATAAAAAGAAATAAATATATAATATATAATACATATATATGTATATATATTAAAATTCTATATTTAATGCATGGACAATAACTTTTTTTATTTTTTTCAATTTTTTTCTCATATTTGATTTCATTGTTCAAAACTAGAGGAGAAAAAGACTAAGGGTGTGTTTGGTTGGTGGGTTTTGCCCATAGGAATGGGTATGAAAGTGATTGTTGTTGTTTGGTTGATAGGTTTTTAGAACACTACTATGGGTTTCGAATACCCCATCAATTGAAAAACCCATACCCAAATACAATAAGGGTTTCATTCCCTTATTTATTTTCAAGCACTACTATTAGTAACTATTCCCATTCCACCCTACTACCAAACATGTTAAATACTTTCACCAAAACCCATTACCATTACCAAGTATTTGATACCCATTCCGATTCCGATTCCTATGTGTGAACCAAACACACCCTAAAAGAGTAATGGGTTTTGTAATTACTAAAGGATTTGAATCCAACAGTAGGATAACAAAAGTAGACAAACGAACATGGTAATGGTATCAAAATCCATAGTAAGGTGCAAAAGTTCCCAACCAAACACCATCTAAATTAAACCTTGCAATCTAGTGAAAGCTACTAAAGCTGCTTTCTACACCAATCTCACAGCCATTAAATCTATTATTTAACTCATCATGAAATGTAAACAAGTCAACTTATCACAAAGCAAGATTACCTGAGATTGTATATATTCTACTAGTTCTTGCAACTTAGCAGCTTGTCGAGAAGGAATCCCACTTGAACTCCCCTCATGCGCTGGTAGTCTTTCTAGAACTATTTGAAGATAACTCTGAAAAAAAGTAGAATATCACTGAACAGTTAAGTGCAGATTGAGAATAATAGCACTTCCAATTAAGAAGGCAAAGGACATAAGGATCAAAACCTTTGTTGTGTATGAACCATCCAGCTTAAGTGCACAACCAGCAGCTGCCACGATCTCCTTATTTACCCCTTTAATTTGTATGTAAGGAGTAGGCACATCTTGTAGATGATCAACCTCAATAAGAATCTAAAGATAATATTCTTAATTTTCAGAAGCAGCTTATATTAAGTAATTTATGCATGAAAGACATTGAAGCCTTAATAAATGTAATAGAGCTATCAAACATCCAAGATACAAGCAAGTGAATATTTTAGACTCAGAAACCGGATAATTTCTTAGAGAAACAAGGAAAAGTAAATTAAATGAGGGAAAAGGGAGAAGGTGGAGAGAGAACCAATTTTGTGGCTGGGAAAGCATAAAAGGTGAATGATGAGAACTTTGATCCAAGTAAATAAATCTTTACGTCAAGAGAGTAAAGAAGACAAGATTTACGTGGTTCGACAAAGTGTCTACGTCCACAGGAACGAAGTTGTTCTTTTATTAATTGTGATGATAAAACATCCAAGGGCATCATATTTATATGCAACCCTAAACATTTACATGTACAAACATATCCATGTACTATACCGTCGGACCCGATTCACTCACCTGGGAGCAACCACCTGGGTTTGTTGCTCAAAGGGAGTCTGGTTTGGTATGTAAACTTAATTGCTCCTTATTTGGCTAAAAGCAGTCTCCACAGACTTGGTTTGAGAGATTTAGCTCTATAATTTGTGAGTTTGGTATGATTCGAAGTGAAGTTGATCATTCTGTATTTTATCGCCATTCTAACAATGGGAAATGCATATACCATGTAGTGTATGTGAACGACATTGTTATTACAGGTAGTGATCAAGAGGGTATATTTCAATTGAAAGAGTATCTCTTCAGTCGATTCCAAACCGAGGATTTGGGCAAGCTAAAGTATTTTCTCGGAATTGAAGTGGCACAATCTAGCAGTGGTATAGTCATTTCTCAAAGAAAGTATGCCTTGGAGATTTTAGAAGAAACCGGTATGTTGGATTGTAGACTTGTGGATAATCCAACGGATCCGAATGTTAAACTTCTACCAAGACAGGGGGAGCCATTGCTTGACCGAGAACGATACATGAGATGAATTGAAAAATTGAATTATCTCACAATCACACGTCCAAATATCTCTTTTGCAATTAGTGTATTAAGTCAGTTTCTTGAGAACCCTTGTGATACTCATTGGGATGCTGATGTTCGGATTCTAAGGTATATCAAGAAAGCACCGGGGCAAGGTTTACTATATGAAGATAAAGGACATGCTCAAGTTGTTGGGTATCCTGATGCAGATTGGGCCGGTTGTCTGTTTGACATGCGCTCTACTTCAAGTTATTGTGTACTCATTGGTGGTAATCTTATATCTTGGAAGAGTAAAAAACAGGATGTGGTCGCAAGGTCCAATGTTGAAGCCATAGTTATCACGGCGCCCTTTTAAGTCGCGGCGCTCCCCGACCGCCTTGTCGCCTAGGCGACTAGGCGCCCGCTTAGGCGACGCCTAGGCGAAGAGTAATATATATATATATATTCTCATATTATACAACAATTACTGCCAGCATATTTTATATATTATATATATTATATAAATATAATAATAATAATAATATGAGAATATATATTGGGAAGAATTATATATAATATATGTGGAAATAGGCAGTGGAAATAGGCAGCCTTATTTATTATATTCTAGGAAGTTGTAGCTGCAGTAGCTTTCATTACAAAACAGAAGCAGAAAACTATTCATTTTCTCAAGGCTACAACTTTCTAGGAGTAATAAAGTAAATATAAAGTAAATAAGTCTGAACAAAGAAGCCAAGAAGAAAGAAAGAAGGAAAAGGAAGAAAAAAAATCAAGAATGGCAGTCGACGACAGCGGTGGGAGAAGAAAGAAGCACCGATGACGACCCACGGCGGTGGGACGGCGTCGTCGGTGGCTGTGGGTCACTGGGTTGGCTTTCTTCTTCTCATACCATTTTTTTTAAAAGATAAAGTTAAAAATGGGTAGGGTTTATGGGTTTGGACGCCGAATCGGCGTCCTTGGCATCGTCTAGGATGCAAAGGCGACGCCGGAGCTCGCCTCACCATTTTCAGGCGAGGCGAAGCCTCCAGGCGTCCTGTCTCCACCGACAGGACGCCAAGGCGTCGCCTAGGCGACGCCATGATAACTATGGTTGAAGCTGAATACCGGGCTATGGCCCTTGCCACGTGTGAGCTCAAGTGGTTGAAGCACTTACTTCAAGAGTTGCAATGTGGCAATGTTGCTCAAATGACACTGATATGTGACAACCAAGCAGCTCTACACATTGCTCAAATCCAATTTATCATGAGATGACCAAACATATCGAGGTTGATTGCCACTTCATCAGGGAGAAGATCGTGTCAGAGTGAATTAAAACTAGCTTCGTCAATTCTGCAGATCAGTTAGCTGATATCTTGACAAAATCCCTTAGAACTCCTAGAGTTGGGTATATTTGTACCAAACAAGCTTGGAGTGTATGATTTATACTCTCCAGCTTGAGGGGGAGTGTTATGGCATATGAAACCAAATGGCAGATGAAACCATAGGAATATGATAGGGATTTGACTAGCATGCATATATATGAGCTGTGTATTCTCCTTTCTACGAGAGTAAGACTGTAAAAGAGTGAACAAATTTTCCAAAAATCCTCTTTACTCTCTTCACTCAACTTTCATTTCAAAGTTGTTAAGGTGGATAAGAAGAAGATGCTACAGGTTCTTGTTCAGTGGGATCGTACATCACCTGCAGAAGCCACTTGGCAATTTTGGGACACCTTCCACGCACCCAATTAGCCTTGAGGACAAGGCTTCTTTTGATGAGGCGGGTAATGTTACGCAGCATGCTAAAGGTGGTGAGAGGGCCAAGAGACAAGTCTCAATTCCACTTAGACTTCATGATTACATTTGCAGCTGAGTCTCCTAAATTTCAGGCCATGCAGACTAATTCTTTGTTATTTTATTTCCGTTGTAGCCGTTGTAGATAGTGCAGGAAGTGCCAAATAAATAGTATACTTTCAAGGAAATAGTTGTATGGGAATCACTATATATACTGTCGTTAGTAAAAGTAAGGGCATCACCCTGAATTTTCAATCTGCTCTATCTGAACTCTTAATACTCTGCTTCCCCCTCTATATTTCTCTTTTGGAGGCTTCCACCCTCAATAGTGGAATATTTTCTCAAACAAAAAAATATAACCCATCACAACACTAAATCTCTCAAATGTCACTTCATTATAGTCCCAAATTTTGCCAAATTTGGTTAGATGAACTATTCAAATTCAGAGAAGTTTATTGTCGAGTATGAACATGCCTGCAATCCACAATAGTGACCTTACCTTCCTAAAGGAGGAATTATAAAGCCAATGACATTACAGTTCCCACTTACTGATAGATAGAATGAAGATATAATTGATATGACTAATATAGACAATGTAAAAGATATAGAATTTAGATAAACAATCCCAATTCTTAAAACTTACACAATAGTGATCTTACCTTTCCATCTTGGTAGATATATGCAGATGCTTCAATATATGCTACTGCTTGATACCTGATTCATTGAAGATCAATCATAAAAAAATTCCAATCAAAAGAAAATAAATCCGCAAGTTACCCACACACAAAAAAAAAAAAAAATTGATGGCAATATGCCGAATCAGATAAAGCTTAAAGTATAACCACAGTTGAGATAATATAGAGCAAGATTATATTAGGTGAAAAAGGCATCTTGTCAACTATTCAGAATCCATTTAAGAATAATGAAATAAAACCTTCAAACACTGCATAATGGTAATCTTCACTCAAATTTAATGAACCTGCACTTCAGTAGTTCAGTAGGCCTATAAATCTAAATAAATGAAAATCACTGATTTAGAGACATAATTGCATATAGCACATTTCAAAAAATGTCCCATTAAATACACTTCTAAGCCAGTCACATATCATGTTTGGATCTTATTCTTCTTTAATTCATTACAAAAGGCATTCAAGTCACAACAAGGTATACTACAATCTAGCAATGGACTCGCTGTCTCGCTTACCAATTATCATCTAAATACATCTGAACAAGAATTAAAAATCAGGAAAAAAAAAAAAAAAAAAAAAAAAAACACAAAGAAAAGAACTACCAATAGCAGAAATTATGTGCACAATAATTGGAAATGTTTCCAATCTTTCCATCCATATAAACAATGAGGTGCATAACCAAAAAGGACAAACAAGTAAGACAGTGAAGAACAACACCAAGATAGAACTCAATACCCGAGGTTAAGAAGGCCAGCAACAGTGCTAATGCTGATATCAAAGTCCACTTTTGGCTGAACAATGAAGCTCCCTTCTCTTATAGGCTTTAGAAGGAAAAATTCAAAAGAAAATAAATGGAAAAGAAGTCATGAGAGAATGCCCATCATGCATTTATCAGAGTACTTTACAAAAAAAGAATGTGTCACAAATTCGATTAAAGACACAAACCTCGCGTATTAACAATGCAAATCTTCCCTCACATATTCTGACTCTTATGCAATCACTTTCTGTTAGCAGGCCATTAGGTATTCCAGGAAGACGTAAATATATATCAATAAAACTCTGAACAGAACTGCATATCTTGGTAGGTTCAAGAATTTTCAGAATATCTTGATATGCCACCTGTCAAGAAGGTCCTCCCTTAAGAAACAATAAGTAAATACAGATTCATGGCGGAAACAGAAACTAATTTTACTTGCCTGCTTATTACTTTTCAACACAAACAACGAGCTCTCAGGGGAAAGCACAGGGTCAAAATCATTTCTAATTTTTAGCTGCAATATAGAATAAAGAATTTAGAACAGCATAACTACCACTTACAACTAACATCTAGAATGGACACAGAAAACAGCATTTCTGAATTCTCAAACCAAAACTATGTTTATATTATATTCCTTCACGATACTTCTTTGTGGTGTCCACATTGTAGCAAAGTTTTAGCTTCAATTTGATTCTACAAATCTAGAGCACAATAGCTACCACCGAATTCACAGTGTAAAGCCAATATACATCACAGACACTAAACAGCATAGGACATGGAAAAGCATACATTTCCTCCCTCCCTCCCTATAATGATCAAGTACAACACTTGATGAAGTTTCATTGAATAAAATCTGACATCTAATATTGAGACCCTTCTTTGGCTCATTCAGAAGTTACGCAATGTTTTCACTCATCTGTGTGCCCCAAAACATGTTTAAAGTGGACACGTCTCTACCATTTTACTCAAGTCTCAGTGGTCAACATGCGAACACAGAAAAACAATATCCAACTCAGAAAATTGGGAGTAGGGACATGTAAATATACTTTTGGAAGTTACAAGTGATTTTGGTTTCATTAGCATTAAATTGCCCAGAACTGATATAGAGGATAAGTTGAATTATTCAATACAGAAGAAAATAAGAAACTAGAGAAAGTTTTTTTTAAGCTAACATGTGCATGAACAAGATGTGGTTCAATGTGCTGCTGGAACATTGGAAAAACTGTTGTCATAATCTCATTTTGAGACATGAAGTATCCAACTCTACTTTTATCCCTTTGAACTCTAGAAATGAGATGTGAATGAACACCCCCAACCTGTATCAGAACAATAAATTAGATTAAAGGATGTTATTGTGTTAACTGCAAATCCAGACAAAACTGAAGTGTCAGCAAACATTCACTCTCCCCTAGTAAAGAAATAGCATGAATCATACTTACAACAGCAATCCACAAGTCCAATGAGTTCCTAATGTTAGGGTGCAGAGCATAAACGCCTTCAAAAATTACCTAGACAACAAAAGTAGAATTTACATACCAATTAGGAATTACAATCAAACAAGGATAAACAGGCCAATCCAATAGCCAATCTAAGATTTAAACTCTGCAGTCAGTTGAAAAACATCAAGATCTGAATCATTTTTTTTGTTGATATTGTGCAACTGTAAGAACAGAGTAAAGAGACAGAAATTCTATGCACATACCACTCCACACTCTTCAGAAACTTCAATCTCCTTCAAGCCACTACGAGCACCAGTTTCCAGGTCAAAGATGGGTACTTTTGTTCTACAAGACTTTCTTATATCATCAATATTCTATAGAAGCAGGTGAAACAAAATGAATTAGTGCAATGATAGGTAAATGTTCTGCAAAAAATTAACACATTAAATTTATCCAAAAACTAGCAGGCATCAGATGCTAGATTTTTAGCAGCCAAAACAGATTTTTAAATGTATTCCACTTCTAAGGTTATTTGACCATAAGTGTCACTGTATAGGGAGCCATTATTAAATGTGTGCATACTGCATAGGCTGTTCCATCAGATGGTGGATGGTAAGCTAAAGAGAAATTCAACTTTGTCCCGCTCAAAGTAAGTCTCTCCAGGTGCTCATACATTAACATACCACAGCACAATCACTAATTATTGATCTAGGTAACCCAGGTAGTTTGAAGATGTAAGTGTAAAAATGATGTGCCACTATGACAGCCGTGAATGGATGTTGTAACATCAAAAAATGAGCATATTTCAAGAATCTATCCACCACCCAAAAAAATCACCAATTCTCCTCCAATTTTTGGAAGTCCCTCGACAAAATCTATGGAGATATTTGTCCATACATGAGCTGGAATGGGCAGCGGTTGCAACACCCCTGCTAGATGTAAATTCTCCCATTTATTTCTTTGGCATGTTGAGCAGTTGGAGAAAAAATCTCACACCAGACGATTTAATCCTAGCCAATGGAAGTCATGCCATATGCAATGGGATTATTTTCTGTACTCCATTGTGACTATTGTTGTGAGTCTCTTGCAATATACGTTGTACAATCTCTGACTCTAAGAGGAATGAATATTTTGTCATGATGGAAGAGAAGGCCATCAGCCATCCGCCATAAGGATTGATATAGCCGGTCAGCGCTGTTGGAAATAGGCAGCCATATTTACTCTAATCTAGGAAGTTGTAGCCTTGAGAAGAGTAGTTTTTAGCATTTATGGTTGTAATATGGAGAACTTGGAACATACAGAATGAAATAAAGTATCACTTCTTCCTCTTCCCTCTATTGTTTTAACATGGTATCAGAGCCACTCCTTGGGCTAAATTCTCACGGATGAACAGTGAAATTCCTATTACGGATAAACTCCAGATTCATCATCCCTTTTTCTATATTATTCAATACTGGGAGCTTTGTTCACAAAGGTGGTACCACAACCCTCCAACAGGAACTCCGGCGACCTTGCCCATCTTTTCCGGCCGCCTATCATCACCATACGCGCTCTCACATGCCACCTTGCAGGCAGACCTCCGACGCCACGCGCCGGCGAGTGAGGCTTTTTCCGACGACATTTTCCGGCCAAATTTTCCAGATCAGTCTGCTCCTTTTCTGCGACCCTACGGTGTTTTTCTCATATTTTTCCAATGATTATGGCAAAACATAACATTTTGAACAGTGCATTGAAGGCTGCCAATACCACTATCTCTCATACTACCCTTGCATTAAGATCTGAATCAGTTCGGGTCAAGGATTCTGGAGCCAGTGAGCCACTGATCACATCTCTGGTAACCCTTCCTTTTTCGCCCATATTAATTTCTTAGACTCTCTTCATGCTGTTACATTTGGTGATGGGTCAAAAGGAAAGGCTATAGGAATTGGAAAAGTCACCATTCATTCTTTATCTTTATCTAATGTCTTTTACATTACCAGTTGTCCCTTCAATTTGATCTCAATTAATCAACTTACTCTCTTAATTGTCTAGTTACCTTTTCCTCTGATTCCATAATTATTCAGAACCATCAAACAAAGGAGACAATTGGTGTAGGAAATGAATCACGAGGTCTCTACCACTTTTATGTCATACCAATACCAAAATAGCTTGCACTGCTAGTGTTTCACCTCTCCTTAACCATTGTCGCTTAGGACATGTTGAATATTAGGAAACCTTTATTGAATATTAAGAAACTCTTGGTAGGAGTGGGCTTAGTTTCCTATTCCTATTAGGATTGATTTAGTATATAGTTTAGTATATATAGACGTACATAGAAGTATAGAGCACACACAGACACAATCTATTATAATCTTTCATTATAATATACTCTTTCTATTTTCTTCTTCTATGGTTTTCTCACATATTTTGCTTCCGCCTAACTGGCGGGTGGTGCCCGCCAGGCCTTTCAATCCCTCAATTTCAACAGGACATCCTGATCTCATCTCAATAAATTAAAACAACTTGTTCCAAGTTTGTCAAGTCTAAAAGTCATAGAGTGTGAATCATGTCAACTTGGGAAACACTCAAGAGCCTCATATCCTAGTGACTAGGAGGGCTAATACCCCATTCTCTCTAGTTCACTCCGATGTTAGGGGACCATGTCGGGTTTCATCCACTTTGGGTTTCTCAAATTTTGTTGTCTTCATTGATGATTTCTTTCAATGCACTTGGGTCTTTTTAATAAAGAACCATTTTGAATTATTTGATGTGTTTCAGAAATTCTACAATGAAATTATGAATCAATTTGGGGTATCTCTCAAAATCTTACGCAGTGATAATACAAGAGAGTATTTTTCTAACACTTACACTTTCACTCTTGCTATCTTATAAATCGAATGCTTTCTTTAATTTTGCAAGGAAAAATTCTTCTTCACATCTTGCGCACACAGGAACCTCTCCATAAGCTCCCATTACGGATCTTTGGGTAATTGGGTGTAATTGTTTCGTTCATGACTCTTCCACAGGACGTGACAAAGTTGATGCTAAGGCAATAAAGTGTGTATTCATTGGATATTCTCGCCTCCAAAAAGGCTTTAGGTGTTACTGCCCTAAAACACACTATTTCTATACTTCCTTTGATGTTACATTCTCTGAAACAACACCTTTTTTCTCTTTCACCTCCATTTAGTCTGATTTCCTAGGGGAACCCACTGAGGTAACAGAAATTCTCCCTGTTCCTACTTTTTCAGAGCCTGTATCTCACACTGTTCCTAAAAGAACTATACCGATTCCTGAAAGAACAACACCAAAATCCAACCATTCAAGAGGAAGGACATGTTTCACCATTTTATGTACACCTATCAACGACGCAATCGTCAAAACTCCCAAGAGGATGGGCATCCAATTGATTCATGTCCTACATCTTTGCTTCCCATGAACACAGCCCAAACCACAACACAAACAGACTCTCACATTGCCAGTCGAATAGGTAAAAGATTCACTTGAAATCCTTATCCTATATATAATTTCCTCACACAAAAACAACTGTCTCTATCGTAATGTGCTTTCATTACTAGTTTGTCTATTGTTTCTGTTCCAAAGAATGTCAAGGAGGCATTACCTCATTCAGGATGGAAGCAAGCAATGATTGATGAAATGGAAACACTTGATTCTTTGGGAACTTAGGAGTTAGTTTCTTTACCTACAGGAAAAACTGTGGTTGGTTGTAGATGGGTGTATAATGTGAAGGTCGGTCCAGATGGACAAGTTGATAGACTTAAAGCTCAACTTGTTGCTAAAGGACACACAAGTATTTGGCATTGACTACATAGACACTTTTTCACCTGTAGCCAAAATCATCTCTATCCGCCTCTTCTCTCAATGGCAGCCAATTGTCACTGGCCATTATATCAGTTGGATATCAAAAATGCTTTCTTACATTGTGATTTGAATGAGGAAGTATATATGGAGCAGCCCCCTAGCTTTGTGGCTAAGACAGGAGCAAATCTTGTTTGTCATCTCAAACGGTCTCTCTATGGGTTGTGTGAAAAAAAAGAGTTAGGTTTATCTATAGGGTTGTGTCTGTTTATGAATAGGTGTTAGTTATGGGTAGTTACTTACAGTTATGTATTTGAATATATATATATATATATATATATATATATATATATATATATATATATATATATATATATATATATATATATATATGTACTATGTTTCTTTGTTAGAAACACACAGATAATACAGATAATACTAATATATTTCAATCTTATATACATTTTCTATTCCTTGATTCTTCATCATTGCTTCCGCTTAACTGGCGGGTGGTGTTATTCTCCACCCGCCAGGCCATTCCATCTTCCAAACTCAACAGGTTGAAGCAATCTCCACGTGCTTGGTTTGGGAGATTCAGTGACGTGGTCAAACAATTTGGCATGATACAAAGCAAAGCCGACCATTCTGTCTTCTATAAACATCTTCTTGGAAAAAGCATATATCTTGTGGTTTATGTTGACGACAATGTCATCACAGGAGATGATACAAAAGGAATAAAACAACTCAAGAAATATTTGTGTCAACATTTTGAGACAAAAGACCTTAGGAAATTAAAATATTTTCTTGGTATTGAAGGTATCTATGTGTCCCAACGAAAATATGTTTAGACATTCTTGAAGAAACAAGTATGACAAACTGCAAGCCAGTTGACACACCCATAGATCCAAATGTTAAGCTTCTTCCAAGACAAGGGGGGCCTCTATTCAATCCATGTAGATACCGAAGATTTGGCAAGCTACTATACCTTATTACATATGTAAATATCGCATTGTACTTGAGCAATTGATATATTGTGGACCCACCATACACATGATGGACCATGTCAAGATTATGGGTATGTTTGGTTCAAACATGGGAATCGGAATGGAAATCAAATACTTGGTAATTGGAATGGATTTTGGTGAAAGTATTTTGCATGTTTAGTAGTAGGGTGAAATTAGAATGATTGCCGATATTGAAATTTAGTTATGTATGACTCTATAATAATCGGAATAAAGGTTTTAAAAATATAAAGACAAAAAATCAAAGCAATTGATCTTAAAAGTGGCAATAAAATGAGTAGGCAATGCAGTGAGGAGGCGATGAAATGAGGAAGGATAAGGTTAAATTAATGGAATGATACCTGATTTAAATTAGGTTATGAGTTTTGTAATTATACGGGTAATCAAATCCTATATCCGTATTTTAAAAAGTTGTCAACCAAACAATGTGTATGACTTTCATTCTCATTCCTGGTGTCTAACCCCATAATATGTTAACTATAGATACATAATATGAATATCGTTTTTGGACCAAGGTCCACAATGCAAGGTGGACCTTGGTCCACATATAACTTGCATAGATGGTTAATATATTACATTGTTGCTTTTAATAGTATCCATCTCCTAGTTATAGGGCAAATTATGCTGTGCAACCGTGTGCACCATGCTCTATGTTCATATTACCGAACTATATGTTTATAATTATAAAGCTATATATTCATAATTTTTGAACTTCATATTCATAATTATTGAACTCTATATTCACAATTACAGAACTCTATGTTCATATTCCGAATTGTTGAACTTTGTATTCACAAATCATAGAATTATATGTTCATAATTTGATAACTATACAATTTAGAAATTATGAATCTACAATACAAACATTATGAATCTACAGTACAGATATTATGGATCTGCAATATAGAAATTATGAATCTACTGTATAGAAATTATGAATCTACTGTATTTAAATTATGAATCTACAGTTTAGAAATTATGAATCTACAATATAGATTTTATGAATCTACAGTATAGAAATTATGAATCTATAGTATAGAAATTATGAATCTATAATATAGAAATTATGAATCCAATGCTAGGTGCACACGGTTGCACAGCATAATCATCCCAGTTATACAGTGTTTGACTTTCCATCTTCATTCACACACACACAAAAAGATATAGCTATGAAGCAGGAGATATGATCATAAGGGCACAAGATAAATAATACTTACCTTTGACAAAAGAGCAAGATCAAGAGTGCTAAAATTGTCATACTTGAAGTCCTTTACTTCTTCTGTTTTGTAATAACTTTCAAGGGAAACAACTTCACAACCAATAATATTAGCCATCTTACGAGCCAAACTTGTTTTTCCAGATCCACTAGGACCACCTAAATGGACAACAAGAAACAGAAACCATGCACAAGAATTATTATAAAATTCGCCTAATTATACAAAGTATATGCAAAAGCAATTCCATACTATAATTTTAACCACAATTTTAAAGCAAGTAAAAACTCGTCTTTCAGCAGGGGGTCCTACTTAATACATCCATATTCCTCTTGTACTTTAAATCAGCACTCAAGATACTATATCATCACATAAAGTACTGTCAAGATACTAAAAATTAGGCAGAGAGGACTTGAAACAATTCATGAAGCAGGCCTATAATTTAGTTTTTCATTTGCATAGTTAGTCATCAATGACTTGCTAGCAAAATTGTACTCACGGAAAAATGTTGCACAAATGTTAATTGCATTTTGTGCTCCCCCTAAAGCATCTGTTCATATGCCATATCCCCATGCCGAAGCATTAAATATTACGGAGTAGTAAGAAACATAGTAAATGTCCAGAAAATAGAGAATTGTTGACCTTAGTAACATCAAGATCCCATTAATTGGTCATAGCTGGTATGGCTATTGCAAGGTGCAGCAGATTACATATGTATTTCATTCTCTAAAAGTTGGACAGTTACCATCCCAACCTAGAGTAAATCAATCTAGAGTGTATCAACCTAGGAGTCTTTTCTCTTCAATAAATGCAAAGACTAAGTTCTCTCTTAACTTGCTTTAATATTTTAGCTTCCACCTCTCCAGCGGGTGGTGGCTAAGTTCTTCAAATCCTTATTTTTCAACAAACATTTTACCCTTCCTTTAAAAAAAATATGAAAAGAACCATGTTCAAGGGAAGAAAGAGAATGAAAAGAGGCTTGAACAAAACTTATTCTTAAAAATTATAATGATAACTTAAAAATTAAAGCACTTGAAAATTGAAATACTATTTGGGGAGGTAGGTGCAAAGAAAGAATGTATAGGGTTTAGAGATGAAGAGTGTGATGCATATTCTACCAATTCCAACTATGACAGGGAGACCCTTGTTCTCCAATAAAGCCTGAAACAAGCCAAAGTTTATGTTTATTATTCAAACAAAATGGCAGACTCTTCAATATTGACTTCTGATTGCACAGATGTAGTCCTAACCTGTATTGCCTGAACAGAAAGAAGTAGCCCTCTATCTAAATCATATGAATCAGGCATTGGAGCAAGCTGCAGAGCATCCCTGGAACAAGATGAATCTGTGGCTGTTTCAAGAGAGGACTTGGAAAAACATAGAATATTGGTAATGCATTAAATTGAAGACTGTTCTAGTTTTGTATGCTGCATACACACCAACAAGTGAGCCATGAGTAAGTGGAGGATCTGGTGCGATGAAATGCCATGTTGCCAAGACAGGTTCCATTTTCGACTTGGTTGGAGACCGAGTCCAAGGCTGAGACAAATCCTCAAGCCTGTTATCGAGGTTAGGGGTAACATGAAGTGGTTTTGGAGCAATGATCAGCCTTTCTTGGTTGCTAGTTAAAATAGCATTAGATCCATCAGCCAAAAGAGGGGGTGTATTAAGTCGAGGAACACCTACAGAAGTGGATTAGATTATCTCAATGAAAATAGATATATGACAGGTGTGTGTGTGTGTGTACATATATATATGCAAGCATATATATTTGTAAATACATATGCATATAAATAAAAACTTAATACCCACAGGGCGTACTAGATGCATGTAGGAACATTGAGGAAAGGTATTCATTCATAATGGAGATAACATGTGAAATAGTATTGTCATTTAGCATCTTCTGCATGTGAATACCATTTAACTGCTGAATGTTAGTGAGGTAATACTAGATGCATCCTTAAAGTGGGAAAAAGAGCTTAAGCTACTAATATTGGATTAGAATTATCATTTACAAATTCCTTACGATGATTTTCCACACAAACTCCAAAGAGATTGAAATATTTATATGATTTCCTACTCTTTTCCTCATTCTTTCAGATGACTTCTCATCCCTAAATTCTTGTATCTATTTCTTGTCCCAACAATAAAATTTTCTTTTGCCCTCAAGCAATAATAGTTAATGTTTTGGACCAAAACTAATGGCTATCACCTTAAGCAAATTTGAGAAGTAAATGGAAGTGAGAACTCAACTAAATTAAGCTTCAATGCCACTCTAGTCAGAGAAAACTACAAGGTCTCAAATTATCCAAAGTATATGATGCTACAAAATAATTAGAACAGTACACAACACAAGGATATGTAATTGATCATTCATTGGTGCTACATAATTAATAATTACTTTATGAAAGATGGAGATGGACTTCAGTACTTCACACATTATTAATGCATGGAGTTACAAACTTTGGTTAATGAATTTTTTTCTGAATGTTTTTTGGTGATGCTTTGCATATTTTATCCACAGGAACATGTTGCGCACAATTATGGTTCATGAAAAAATAGTAAACAAACAAGGTGAGAAACCAACTCCAAAACTTTTTTATACTTTACAGTCCAACAGTCCAACATAGTAATCAAATATATGGACAGCTTAGGACAAGGATATATGGAATTAAATCTAACGAAGAAACTCTGAAAACCCTCAAGATGAAAAAGATCCATTCACTAAAGCAGAAGGTGCCAATTTTTACAAACTTGTTGCTAGTTCTTACCTAATGGCATCTCAGCATTAATAGCATAGATCAAGATTCTAGGGTGTTGGTAGTCCAACCAGATAATTACTAGTCAGCCCTGACAAGGGCAACTAAAAAAAACTGTTGTTTAAAATGAATAAGAAAAGATGGATTCTTCAATTAACTATGGGAAAAGAAATGCCAATATTCTGGCTCAATGTAATAAGACAAAAAATAAAACAATGTCATAAGTGTTGCTTTCAAATATCACCTTTTCTCTCCATAATCAGTTCAAGATAGGATTTAGTAATCCAAGGTCCACTAACACCCATCCTTGATGCTTTAGCTCCAACCATCTGCAAAAGAAAGGTATGCCAATGGTGTAGCCCTCACACAAAATGACCATGTTCATGAACAAGAAAAATGAGCTCACCGTCACCAGTTAGTCAGCTACAGCACATAATGCGGCCAACATATATTTTGGAAAAGGATCATGCGAGAATAATTGCTTTTTGTGAGAAGTGAGAATAAATCTCATCCATCCATCACAAAAAAATAAAAGGACAAAAATCTATGCTTAAAAAAAGGCAGTGGCATTTTTATAAATAAGCAAAATTTTGAATAAATAAATCATATACATATTTGTCCCAAAACGATGCATGTTTAGATTTCTTTCTACCCATGTGTATTTATGCCAAAACAGTACATCTTTTGACTGAAACAATGTGTTTAGACGTATGTATTTAGTCTAAAATAATGCAGGCAAAAAAAACCATGTGTATCACAAAGTGATGTGTGTTTAGGCTTCCTGATCTATCTGTGCATATTTAGGCTAAAACAATCCGGATTTTCTTCAAAATGATGGCAGGAAAAAACTCCCACATATCTACAAAAATATCACCGCATCTTTAATTTAAACTTCTGCATATGTTAATAGGTTTTAACTAAACCCATTTTTTCCCCAAAACAATACTGTTTTTCCCTTAAACGATGCAATGAAAGTTTACATATTTACGAAAAATGTCACCACATATTTCATTTAAGTATAGATCTCATCCATCTATTCTTTTGCAATGGACGAACAAAATTTATTCCCATTTCTCATAGGAGACACCATTCTCACGAGATCCCACCCACACATATAGTTTCCATATAATGAGAGTTTATTTATTCAAAATGCTTCTGCTCAATCTTCTCTTTAAAGCTTAAGCTTCACTGTTCTGTGAACTTTGGCTGAACCCCCAAAAGAATTATTTTGATTGGATGACAAGAATGATGAATTCTCTGTCAAATGTTTCTACAAGCTCATAGTCCCAGGCAACAAATAAGCTTAAACACAGAAGGAATATGGAAAAGGAGGGTCACCCAAGGTTATCATTTTCAACATGGACAGTAGCTTATTAGACATTAGTCAGATCTGAATAAAGACAACCTACAGAGAAGGGATAAGGTTCTGGTAATGAGTGGAAAACCCATCTGTTTTTTCACTTGGTAATGGGAGCTGATATCTAGCATATGTGTTTTCTTCTGTTGGGGAATAACTAGGTTAATACCATGATCAATGCACTGATATGTTGACAGTTTGTAGAGTCACTAAGGAACAGAAGGCGGGTGGTTTCGGCTTTTGATGCATTAGCAAAGCTCTTGCATGACAACTTTTGAGCAATTTTTGTTCGTATATGGAGTACTAAACAAAAATGCATAAGGAAAAATAGAAATAAAAGGTTCCCTCCAGAAAGGAGGAGAGAAGATATTATCTTTACTGTCTTGTGAAAAGTGTTAAGAGTCTCACATTAATAAAATAAGAGAGAATATATGGATTTATAAGGCCATGGGTTAGATTAGCTAATTGGTTGGACTCAATCTTTTAGTGTGGTTTGGCCCATGTGCATTATAGCCCAATTGAGTGACCCAAGCCCAATCTTAGTTTCTAACCTGGTATCAAAGCCTATTCAATCCACTTTGTGTTCACCCAGTTATGGGTATTGGTGGCGTCTAAGCTTTCGTAAGCCCGCTTGTTCGGTCCACTTTGGTGGTGTCCAAAGCTTTCGTTTCAGGGGAGGGTCCCGTCCAATTTCAAGTGGTCAACCGGTTAGATTCAAAATGGCCCGGTTGTCCACTTGAGGGGGGGTGTTAAGAGTCCCACATTGAAAATAAGAGAGAATATATGGGTTTATTTATAAGGCCATGGGTTAGAATAGCTAATTGGTTGGATTCAATTGAGTGACCCGAGCACAACCTTAGTTTCTAACAAAAAGAATTAGCAAGGAATAAGAGAGCTGGTAGAAATTCATTAAGAGCAAGGCAAACAAGTCTGTACCTTTCTATCTGTCCCTCTCAAGACCATGTATGCCTCCCCAAGAGTATCAATTGTTTCCAATGAAACAGAAAAACTGCCCTCACTGACAGAGGTTGATGCTCGTTTATAACTGACTACAACAGTATACCCCAGGGCAAGCAATCCACCCAGAGTCATCCGTCCAACCTTTTATAATTGCAAAAGGATCAGCAAAAGACAAACAAGGCAAGTCAAACACAATGATTTTGTGCTCAATTTAGTTTGCCATCAGTCAATGTCCAAAAAGATAAAAAAGGAGGGAGGATTTTGGACATCAAAGAGAAATATAAATGGGTAGGTGGGGGTAGGGAGAGGGGATGGGGGTCAACAAGTAGTTGTTAAATCAATAACCTGACTAAAGATATAAACAGAAAAATCTTCGCCAAGGTAGAAAAATAAATGAATAAATGTTTGATGCTCAGTAAACAAGTAATTGCAAGTACACAATACTATAATAGACTCTCCTGTTACATTAAACCAATTCAATCTGCTGGTTCCCAAATGCTAAAGCCAAATTTTTTATGATTTCTGTGGGAGAAAAAAAAAGGTCTTTGAACCAGCAGCAAAGCCTGTTATAGTGTGATGCATAAAAAAATCAGCAGAGAAGCTGCAACACCATAGCTTTATTAAATTCATATTAGGAGACAGTGCAACACATGTTAGTCATTTAGCTTATAAATTCAACACCAGCACTGCATTGAGCCACCATTGCCACCCAACTCAATAAAAATTTGTGTCACCAACACATGCCCCATTTAAAGTTACTTCAGACAGTGCAAAACCACAAAAGAAAAATAATATCAAACTGTACCTGTAAAAAGAACAAATTCTGTTGTGCTAACCCAGAATGTTAAATCTCAAACATCAGGTCTTTAAGCATATTACCTATAAGGTGTATGAAACACCTTTTTTGAATTTGAAGCACTCACATAGAAATGATGAGAAACTAAGTTAAAAATAACAAACTGAAAAACAGCAATTTCAAAACCAGATGTTCCTTTAAAAACCAGAAACAGAGGCACGAAAGATGAGAATACTAGCAATTTCAAAGCAGCAGAAATGATGAATAAGTATCTCATAATGATTAGTATTTAGTTGATATAAAATGTACACAAAATATTTTTATCTAAAAGCAAGATTAAAATAAATTGTCTAGAGATATCTAACCTCAAATTCTGCTTTTGGCCGTATAATGAAATTTTTGTCAACAATTCTTTGGTCGCCTAGAGACAGATAGTATCTAATACCCGATTGTCGCACCTTAATCCAATCATTTATTCTTGCTTCTTCATTTGCAGCTGGAGGTCTAAGGTACATCTCAATGAAGCTGAAAGGAAACTCCCAAAAGTGGTCATCTTTACACTAAAAATAGAAGAATAAAACTAAAAAAAAATAATTGATCACCCCTAATAATTAGAAAGAAGATTTAGTACAGAACATACTTATCTACTTGAGCATCCTTTCCCCCAAAAATATGCAACACAAGTTCATCTTCAGACTGTAACGTGTAGAAATGAAGGTAAACTTAGCCAGGATAGAGGATTATCATTACGTTATAGCATTAAACATACAAGATCACAACAAGCCTGTTGAAATGGGCCATACATTATCTTGGATCATGCAGATGGCAATATTAAGAGAAAAGCATGGTGCCAGTAGTCACACATGACACAACTGAATCATACAGTACCATGTAGCCATCCAATTATAATTTAGGGAAAACAAATTATGTTTGTGATAATATGATTTCATCATCTTGATCATCAGAAAGTAATCTATATTCATAAAATTTCATGTTACTAGAAAAATCTTTGACTCATAGAAGCATGGTAACACTTGAACTCTTCATATAACCACCATTCATGTGTCCAACAAAATACCTCAGCACAACCAACAGATAATCTGCTTCTGCAGGATTTATTTATCTGCTACAAACGTTGAAAAACTTGGAGCTCCTACATCTTAACATTTACCTTATCCATAAAAGTAGAAAGACTGCTCATAGATTTCTCTGAATCAAGCCTCATCAAGAAAAACTTAAAACAATTACAAAATAACAAGCTGTGGGGATAAAGAGAACAATATTCTACAATATCATTTCAAGCAGCCAAATAAATTTATAGCCAGATAATGCCAAACAAAAAGGAGAAAAATGTCATATTGAACAGCAAGAATCATTTTACATGCTACTTTAATACGTAATGACACGGAACAAATTCTATCATTAAAAGAAACAATTTCCATACAAAAAGATGAATGGTTCAGAAATTCAAATTGAAAATTAAATGGCATTGATTTCTCAGTTCTTGCACCTCACTTTTGCATTTTAGCTTGTAGATTGGCTCTCGAAATGATGAAATAAAGCTGTTGTTAATTCTAATCTGTCAAAACATGCAGAAAATCAATTATAACCATTAGGGAAAAGTAACATAAAAGTGTAGCACTGGTTCATTGGACACATGAAACTTTACCTGTGCATGATGAAGGTCCGGTTCAATATGTTTTCTAAACAGTGGGAAGATGCTGTCAATCAGAGAATCCAGTGAACAAGAATCCCCAATATCATATTGCACTTTGGAAAGAAGACTAAAGTGAACGCCACCAACCTAAGAATGACATGTGATATAATTCATATCAAACTAATAAGAGCAATTTAAAATAAAAATGTGAAGAATTTTTCATTACCACAGCAACTCGTATATCTAGCAAGGAGCGTAGTCTTGCATGCAGAGCATAAGCACCATCAACTATAACCTACAAGGAAACTTACAGCATGGAACAATTTAAAAGCTTTAAAGTTTAAAGCAAAAGAGCAAGTAGCAAGCATTCTCACCACTCCAAATGAACTACTTTTTATTTCTTTGGTACCGATTCGTTTTCGTCCTTGAAAATCAAACACTGGGGTATATACATCATGGCCATTTATCAGATCCTATAGAAAATGTAAAGAAGTTATAAAAGTGCAAATAATAGATGACAGTATTAATGAATTGTAAGCAACTATCCCTGCATGCAAAAATCTCATATATTACATAGGAAGCATATACCAAACCCTCAAAGCTGTAAATAATTGCCATAGAAGCTGAAATTATAATTATAGAGTACTAAGTACTTACAAAGACAAATCCACCTATTTTGGGTACTTTACAGTAACAGATGTGTGATACAAGTTATTACAACTTCAAGAGAAAGTGTCACACAAGCTTAACAGCATACCTCAAGATGCTGGACCAGAAGATCAAAGTCTATTAAATCCAAATCATTGCCTTCGTCAATCCCAGTGCGATAGTTCTCCATTGATATGACAGCACAACCAATCACAGATGCTACTTTCTCTGCTAAGCTTCAGAAACCATTGAATTTGCTTTATGAACTCTTATTTGAGTTTAAATCCACTTTATAGATTAGAAAATTGATCTCCAGAAGTGAAGTCTAATATAACATGAAGTAATAATTAAAATAAAAATTTATAAATAATAAAAATAAATGATAAATAAACCTTTATAACACAATTACATTCCCTTATCTTTAATTTCTATCCAAGAAAAAGTAAAAATAAAAAGTACTGTGTAAAAAGGAATGTTACCTCGATTTCCCAGAACCACTAGGCCCTCCAATACCAACCATTACCAAGCCATCTTTCTTTGATCTAAGTTCTTGTATAGATTTTACCATCAAATAATAACCATGATCAAAAGACTGCAAATTTCAGGGGAAAATAATGTCAGGACTTTTATATAATATTGTCAGCACAAAAAATTGCATACATTTCAATAACCACCCTGACCCCCTCCCTCCAAGTTCAGATCATTACCAATCCCATTTTCTAGACTAATTGATCTTTTACCAACAAATAATGGTTCTAGTTCCAAATCCAAAATGAAATGCATTCAAGTAAATAAAGTATAAGAGATTCGGTCCCAAAATAAAATGCAAAAAGAAAAAAATTTCCATAAAACCGCCCTTAAAAAACGCCATAATAACCACAAAAACGTATACCCATTTCATATTTATGTATTTTCAATCATATCAAAAATAAGAAACCGATAATATCAGGAAAAAGAAATAGAAAAGCTGTCCCTCAAGTACAAAAATAGATAGAGAGAAGGAAAAGGTCACATACAACATGAAGAGGAAGTGATTGAAGAATGGAGGAAGAAGAAGAGGAAGTAGAGGGCTGCTGCTGGTAGAAATCGCGGCCACCTTCTTGGAAAACCCGCTGAACCACTTCATCGTCCATACCTCTGCTTAATTTCGAGCTTTCCGTGTGCGTATATCAATTTTGTACGAATATTTGCACTATTATATTATCTTAAATGAGTTGAATTTGATCGATTTAGGAGAGAGAAAGCAGAAGGAATCTTTGATTGCTTTCAGGGTGGGAGTATATATATTTGTTAGCGTAATTCTGCATTCAAACCGCCCCGTTTTGTTGTTGCTTGTAAGCTGTAAGAAGAGTCTTCAAGAAATGCAAGAAAGTTGGAAGAGTTAAAACTTGAAAGAGGAAGACGCAAAAGAGGGAAAAAAAAAAAAAGGAAAGCTTCTTGATGAAAACTGGAAAGTAATTCCTTCGCTAAATTTTTTACTCTCAATATATTCTTCACGTCTTCACTTTTCAATTTTTTGCGATCAAAGAAGTTAACATCCAATTAGAGTTAATTCCAACATTTACCAATTTTTATTTTTGATTTTCAATTGGACCATAAATATTTTGTATGACTATTGATTTTTACCAATTTTTGTTTTCAATTTTTAATGAGACCATAAATAGTCCCTTGACTATTGATCTTTACCAATTTTCGTCATCGACTTTTAGTAGGATCATAAATGGTCCCTTGACTATTTATTTTGTTCTAAATTTGATCTTTCAATTAAATATTCATTTAATAAACATTAAATTTAAGAATAATAATGTAAAAATTAGCTTGTTGTTGAGGACAAATTGAGTTCATCATTGTGAAGAACTAAAATTTTTACATTATTACCCTTAAATTTAATATTTAATAAAATGATATTTAATTAGAGGACCAAATTTAGAAAAAATCAATAGTCAATGGACCATTTATGGTCAAATTGAAAGTCAATGACGAAAATTGGTAAAAATCAATAGTCAATGGACCATTTATGGTCCAATTGAAAGTTGAATGATAAAAATTGGTAAATGTCAATAGTCAAGAGACTATTCCTGGAATTAACTCTATCCAATTTCGCCTTCGACTATAGTGATTTTTTTCGATTTAGTCATAAACAACTTTTTGTGCTTAATTAAGTCATCAACTTTGATGGGTTTACCCAATTGAGTCCTTGACTGGTAGAATCAATGACTAAATTGGAAAAAAATCACAATAGTCGATAACTAAATTGGGTAAAACTACTAGAATCGAAGATTAAATTGGGTAAAACTACTATAGTTAATGACTAAATTGGCATTAATAGATGTAAAATTACCAAGTTATTTAAACAGAGGAACTCAATTGAGTAAAAATCATCAAAGTCGATGACATAATTAAGCACAAAAAATTGTTTACGACTAAATCAAGAAAAATCACTACAATCAATGACTAAATTAGGTATTAACTCAAATATGAGTCTAAAAATGGTCCACATTTTTTCGAGTCTTTTTAAAATAAAAAAATATAGGTCCCGTTTACTAATTGGAGAATATATATATATATATATATATATATATATATATATATATATATATATATATATATATATATATATATATATTGGTTTTACGACTTAGGGCAGCCGATCGGTGGCTAACACTACCGTAAAATACTAGGTTAATAAAACAAAGTAATTGATGCCGAATAAGAGGCTGAGTAACATGATGTTATTAAAGAATTCGATCTTTTACACGGTGACCCAGGAAGGGTATTTACTATTTATACAAGAGAATAGATCTTTTATAAGGTAAGAAAGGAGAAAAAATAACTAAACAAGCTTTGGAATCTACCATAATTAATGTGGTAACTTACTAAACTGAGGAAAGGAAACTACTTGCTCGACAAAGACAGGAATCTCCGCAAAATCCGCCATTAACCGCATGTGGAGCGCGCACTCGTTCGGGGACACACTGACTGCCTAGCTGGGTCCCCTGGCCGGGGCGGCTAAGGCACCCAGATAGGGATACACCAACTGCCGAGCTTAGTCGCCCACCCATATCCTTTGGGGAGCTTGGATGAGGACACTCCGACTATCGAGCCTGATCACCCATCTAAGCCAGCCAGAGCCCTGATAGGGAACTCACCCACTGGTCAACTTGGTCTCCCGGGTGTTTGCGCTGCTGTTGCTAACGAGAGAGGCGCTTCCTCTTGAATTGCCAAGTGCTATTCAGCCTATTCTTTAGTCGGGCCTGACCATTCTTCACACTCCTAGGCTAAGTGCCCGATTAAGGGTATCTATCACCAGTCCCTCACTTTTCTGGGGTCCAACCAAGTGACGACTCAAGAAAGTATAAGAAATAATCGCATGCGCGCCTAGGAGCCCGACTGCCTGGCAACCATCCTGCTCCAAGCTAAATCAGCACTCAATCGAGCACATGAGTTCACACCGACTGGTTTCAAGAATTGGTACAGTCGCTGACATGTAATTATGGCAACCCCTCCTTATTCGCCGATTATAGTCTTAAGACATGCATTTTCGTAACCGTCTTGTCAGAGTTACGTCACTCCCCCAGCCGCTAAATTGGGTACGCGTGGCACGATCTGGTCAGCCGACCATACCTATAAATACCCAAGTCGTCCTCTCTTCTCTTCTTCCGCACTTCTCTACTCTTATCTCTCTAAAATCTCTGGCGTTAACCTCCTTTTCCCAGCCTTTTACTCCCTTTTCTAGCGCCCGGCGTTCTTTCCTTTCCCGAGTCAATTCCACCGTCTCCTCCGGCCGTCGCATTTTAAGGTTAGCCTTTATTTCCTTCTTCATTTGCTTTCTTTACGCCACCACCATGTCTTTATCACAACCGCCAATTCCCTTTACTTCCGGCGCCCGTCAAGGCCAGACTTCTAACCCTCTGGCCACTACCACTTTGCAGGCAACGGCCTAAGGCCCCACGTCCGTAGCTCCGGTGAACCCTCCGATAGACAGGGAGCTGGGCTACTTTGAGAACTTAGAGTGGTCAGTCGGCCGCCGCTCCACCATATACGAGGTTAACTTCTTACACGCCCGCCGGCTACTGGGTTCGCCGGCGGTAACTCGCCGCCTAGGCAACCCGCTTGTGAGTGATCCCCCAAAAGGTGGATACGTGGGGATCTACTACCAGTCAGTCCGTTGTGGCTTTTGAGTTCTGGTTTTTCCGTTTCACTCCCTCCTACTCCGATATTATGGCATTGTCCCTGGTCAGTTGGTACCTAACTCCTACCGCCTTCTAGTCTCCTTCCTGACCTACTGTCATCGCCTTGAGGTGTCGGCCGCCTTGCCTCTCTTCCACCAGCTTTTTTGACTGATTGCGGTCGGTTCGGCTGCTCAAGATGGCCGCAAGTTTTTGGATAAGTTGGAATCTCTCATAAGGGTTGGAAGGAGGAGCTCATCTTCATCCGCCCGGCTGACTGCCATCCCACACTGCCTAGCAGTCATCGTACTTTCGCTTTGAGAAGAGGGTACCCTGCCCAGACGACCTGTTTGATCTGGTCAAGCGGATCACCGAGGGTGAGCTTATCTCGGCCCAACGTTGGTCGTGACTGGGGGCCAAGATAAAGGTCGGTATCTTGCTGGAAGGCGCCTCCAGGACATGTCTGCTTTTTCCATGCTGCCTGTGTGACACCCCAAAAATCCACACTCCAAACCATGAATTAATTGAGTAATTAATTCTATTTCTTTTGAGGAATTGATTCCTAAAATCCTGATTTTTGATACTCAAGGACTAGTATTTGACTAGTCAATCTTTAAGTGGTGTTGTACCTTGTGCTTTGAGAGGAGTTCCCTTGTTCCTTACACTTTCTAAGAGTTAGTAAGGGTATCCTTGTCTTTTCACCAAGAGCTTGTTTTGTAACCTAAACCTAGAAGACTTCTTCATTTCATTCCCTTACATTTCCTAGAAAATATCTCTACCTTCTCTCTAGAAAACAAGAGTAGCTTGTTCTTCAAGCCAAAAGAAGCCTTTGTCAAGATTCCAAGTTTTGTTTCCAAGATTCAATCTTTCCTCTATTTTGGCATCTAGAAGGGTAAGATCTAAGCTTGTCTAGTCTTTTTGGTTCCATCTTAGTTGTCTTTTCTTAAAGGTTGGATCTTTATGATCTTTTGGTTTGATCTTGAAGTGGGTTTGGCTAGTGAGCTTAGTGGAGAGCTTGTTGTGGTGTAAGAAGAGTCTTTTGGTCTTCAAGAGGTAACCCATGCTCTACAAAACCTATTTTGCTTACCTATATATGATTTCTTGGCTTCTACTTGTGTTTTGCTATGAAATGTGAGAGTTTATGCATTTATCTTGTGATATTGCATATCTAGAGCTTGTGTTTAGGTTTCCTTTGTGCCATTGCTTGGCATTTTCCTTGGTTCAAGTCATTTTGTTGTGCTTGGTGAGATTTGGCATGTTTTGGACTTGAATTTGTGTTTGGAGGAGAAAATCCCCGAAGGGATTTGTTGTGGTACAGGGACGTACCCGCGGGCGGGGCACCACCCGCCGGCCTACCCGCGGGAACGTATGCCTTGTGGGTGTTGTACCCGCGGGCGGGACCACGGGTGGGGCACTACCCGTGGGTCCACCCGCGGGGAACACAGTGATGTTGGAGTGGGATTTGTTCCCCGTGTTTCGTTTGTCTCGGTGTTTGATCTTTTGGCCTCCCGTTGTTCTTTTGTGGAACTATTTGAGCGTCTTCTTGATGTTTCGTAGGTCTAGAGCTTTTGGTAGGTATCCATGTAGGATCTTTGGTGTTGTGTATCGTGCTAAGTGTTCAACATTGTGTTTCGTTGAACCGTGTGGTGTCTTGTGTGTTCCTCGGAACTATCTTGAGTTTCTTCGTTGTTGAGCTTGCTAGTTATTATCCTAATGCTAGCGTCGTTGTGTCGATGGATGGTGACCTGTCTCTTGATTGAGTATGTTTCGTACCTCTGTTGCAATCCGTTGCTTGTTTCGTGTGAGTGGTGGTGCGTGTGTGGCTTTACCTGGATTGCACGATTAGTGGTATGGGACGCTAGTCACCAAGGTATTGCAGCGGTCCTCGTGGTGGCCGTGACGTGATTTCATGGAGTTGTGGCTGAGTCCACGTGTTTGGGGGATAACATTGTGTTATCCGGGCATGTGTTGCCGTGAATTGGTGGGTTTTCGTTGGTGGTTATAGGTGGCGGACGACGGTCCCGGAGGAATAAGGTTGGACTTAGCTGTACAGGGGCTTTCTGGAGGTAATGGTTGGCACCGAAGGTACAAGGTTGGGGGTAGCCATAAGGTTGGAACAAGGCATAAGGAAGGCATATCAACTCGTGATGGGTGATGTCACGAGGGCTTGTGAAGCCGTTGTTGTGGTGAGTTCTCT